TAAACTAAACTAAACTAAACTAAATTATAGTTTAAAAGTGAATGTACAACTGTACCCATATTCTGTTCTTGGCTTATCTCTTGTGCTTTGTTTCCCTCAAACAAGCACAGGTTCAGACATAACACCTCCCAGCAGCACATCAGCAAGAACTGGGGACAAACAAAGGACTTGTGATGTCATCAGTATGCACCAGCATGGTCATAGTTACATGTAAACCATAGTTTGGTTTAACTATGGCTTAAAATACCATATTAACCAAGCCATTGTGAGTTTTGAGTATGCAACATATAGAAGAAAGCTTGGTTTTGCCCTTGGTTTCCATGGGATCAGAAGAAGAGGGCTCATCTACTAAGCACATTAAGGTGGACTCTTCCTAAACCACTTGTTCATACCTAAGCACCAAGCAAAAGTGTGAGCAGTCCCCATAAGGAAAGGGCAAAGGTTTACACAGATGTTTTGTCTAACCATTGCCAGTTTCGGCAGTGCTAGTGATACTGACTCTACTAATCCCTCAGGCTGTCATTTGAACTAAGGGAATCAGCACAGGAACTCAGGTTTGCTGAATAATCACCCTGACACACAATTTCTCTGCCCAGAAGCACCCTAAAGAAACTCTGAAAAACACATAGTCCAGATGTTCAGCTTATTGTAGTGAAACTGCTAAAACTAAATAATATATAGTGTTAAGTATATAAACACTACCGACAGCTGAAGGTGCTTCGCATGTATTAGCTGAGTAGTTTTGCAACCTTATAAGGTAGGTCAACACTATTATCCCCATACTGCAGATGGAAAAGGATGGCTGATGTTGAGAGATAGGGGCATGCCTAAGGCAACCAGTGAGATAATGGGTGAGCCGAACCAGGGACAAATCCACACTTCCAGCGACTACACTGCACCTAGTTAACAACTGTTCCTGCCTCTCCAAGTGCAATGAATGCAGTTTTGCCTGTGGATAAGCAAGAGAAGGAACAAAGGCACAATGTGCTTACTGTGAGATCCCAAGTAGAGAGATACAACGAAGCGCACAAGGTGTGTTACTAATTGATGGTTGCCCTACTGATCCGCAGCAGTGATAATTAGCCCAAAGTGCAGTGCATACAGCAGGCATGGGGAGCCTCCGGCAGGTGGCCCTTCAGGCATCTCTGTCTGACCCTTGAGACTTTCCCCAACCACACCCCTCACCTGTTCTCAGTTCACAGGCTCCTTGAATGTTTTTGCTTGGATGGGATGTGTCTTTGAATTCTGGTGACTCTTGTTTACCTGGATGAAGGACTGAGTGTGTGTGTGCAGATACTAGCTCATTGTACAAAGGGGAAACGGGAATTAATTGCTCCGCCCTCGTTTGCTTCTGACCCTGCCCATCACTGTCATGTGACCTCCAAAAGGTTGCACAGAAGAGAATATGGGTCTCAGGATGAAAAATGCCCCCTATCCCTGGCATCCAGCTTAGTTATTCATAGAAGGTGGGCTAGCACCAAAGAAGAGATACTCTGAGGATCAGAGAGAAGGTTATACAGTACCTTCTGCTATAATCATTGCCTGCATCCTAGTGATGATATATGAAAAACCAGTGACACAAGCAATAGAATGGGAACTGCATTCAAACATGAAAGAAAGACTGCCTGCTTTGATCTCTTATAGCCCCAGGCAACACAGTCTTCCAAAGTTGTAGTATTTTTGACCTAGACTTCACATTTCATAGAAAACAACGATCAGATCACCTGACGTTTTTGGTTTTTCCCTTAAAGGCAGCCATGCGGCCTTCAAACTTAAACAGAGCAGTGGCCTCATGCGGTGTGTTGTCTCTGCACATATAAAACCCAACAGAGTCCATGGGTTGGTGCAGTGGTTAGAATGCTGGACTAGGACCTGGAAGGCAAGGCTTCAAATCTCCACTCAGACTTGAAGCTCACTAGATGGCCTTGGGCCAGTAACTAACTCACAGTTTAAGTTACCTCACAGGTTGTTGTGAGGATACAATTGGGAAGAAAACTATAATACGCAACCTTGAGCTCCTTGGAGGAAAGGTGGGATACAAGTGTAACAAACAAACAAACAAACAAACAAACAAGTTGTTAGTAACATAAAAGAAGATTGAGTCTATTCAGACAATCCACTGTTCTCAGCAACTCTGGGATGTGCATATTAACTTCTAGAGAGTAATCCAGCATCAACTCAGAGCAACAAATGTGTTAGGAATAAGGTGACATTTCCTCCTCATACTTTTATTCTTAGTTGAAAGAGAGAGAGAGAGAGAGAGAGAAGAAAATTCAGCCTCAACTCTTCTCCTATCCAAGGACCACAAAATCAATTTTGTTTTGCAAATTGCAAGTGAAGGTTATTAGAATAGTCAGAGTCTTGCATTCCAGTCCCGTTAACACAATAAACACACTTCTGAAACTGAATTAAATGCACATGTAGGCACAGGGAGATCAGAATTTATAACTCAATAAATACAATTTGACAAAATGGTCTAAAAAAAGCATACAACATTGTCAAATGAAACCAGTCCCTTGCATGACTAATTGACGCTTGGATGCAACTTGTGAATGTTACATAACTGGCAACTTAAATGTTCTGAAAACTTATAACCATTTCCTTTCTTATCTGTTTATATTTCCATGTAACACAAGCCTCTGTTCATTCAGTTTCTTCTTCAGAGATAACTCTTTCTCTCTAGGGACTCTTTAATTCAGCAACATGCTTAACCATATTTCTTCTTCTGTTTCTCTCTATAATGCACCACAAAAGTAGCAGTGACACAAAACAGTTAAGATATAAAACATATCCTTTCATTTCCTACTGTTTTACTTCTGGCGCTAAGGATAGCGAGTGGGAATAGATATTACTGTATCTAGGTAGCACAAATATCAAATATGGTATTTGCATACTTGCGATACATAACCATTGAAGAAGGACCAGTGAAACACATTATAAGAAGTATGCATACATTGCACATGCATCCAGCAGAAGAATGTATGACACTGGGAAGTTTGGTGAATTGACCGTAGTTTATACATATTGCCTACACAGATAGCATCTTAGGCACATAGAGTAGTATAACATCAGTTTATCTTCCTGCCTCAGTGGTACCTATTTATTTGTGCTAGTATGCTTTCGAACTGCTAGGTTGGCAGGAGCTGGGACAGAGCAACGGGAGCTCACCCTGTCATGCAGATTCGAACTGCTGACCTTACAATCAGCAAGCCCAAGAGGCTCGGTGGTTTAGATCACAGTGCTGCCCTGGTTCCATCACAGTGTCCCATTGCACCCGAAGCAGTTTTGTCATGCTGGCCACATGACCCAGAAAAGCTGTCTGCAGACAAACACCAGCTCCCTCGGCCTGAAGGCAGAGATGAGCGCTGTATCCCATAGTCAAATTCGACTGGACTTAACCGTCCAGGGGTCCTTTACCTTTTCATAACATTTTTAAAATAACATTATCCACAGTTCTCCTTCTCTCACGATACTAGATCCTGTGGTCATTCAATTAAACTGATTCATGGCATACAAAAGGAAGGACCAGCACACAGTGGTCAGTTAAAGTATGGAATCTACTCCCTTAAGATGTAGTGACAGCCACTAACCCTGTTGGCTTTAAAAGGTGGTTAGACAAGTTCATGACGGATAAGGCTACCATTGACTCCTAGTCATGACATCTTGTTGCCCCTGTGAGAGTGGGATGCTAGACTTTTCTTCGATCCAGCAAGACCCTTAACTACTTGTCCATGGCATGCCCAAACTGATGCAAGCTAAATTAGAGTTTGCCTATGCCATGCCTATGACCACCCAGCCACAGGCTGATGCAGATGGGATTTGTCTATGGGTGGAGTGTTTTCCCACAGCCACCAGTTGTGGCTGAAGTAGTTGTGACAACATGCCCTTAAAATGAGTTGCTGTACTTCCGCATACAGCTCTTTTTCCTGCCCCAGAGGAGTTTATCAATCTCACTTGTGCAATCAAGAGCAGGGAAGTGAAATTGATGAACTTCAGCTGGACTTGCTGCTATGGGGAAACTGATGTGGGACACCTCCAAAGATGCCATGGTAGAGCCAGGCATCCGTACATTGCTTCTTTCTCCTCCCCACATGGATTCCTGAGACTGCTTCTCCAACTGTTACTTTTAATGTTCTCAATGATATTCATAGAAATGGGGGGGGGGGAGGCTGGAGTGATGGAGCTGTATTGCTGGTTATCTTGCATGGCACTTAAGATATGTATGCAAGCAAAAAAGACAGGAGTGAGGAACCATTTATTGCCTGAAGGCTGCATTTCCTTCTGAGCATCCTTCCTGAGGCCACATGCCAGTGGAGGTGGGGACTGAAGAAAAGGTGGGTGGAGCAGCGAATGCCGATTTTACCTTGGTACATTAGGCTAGCTCCAGTTGGCAATCTAACCTTCTGCAGAACAACCCTGGCATTGTTTGAACACTCATATAGCTCAGTCAGTAGAGCATGAGACTCTTAATTTCAGGGTTATGGGCTCGAGCCCTACGTTGGGCATTGCAGGGGGGTTGGACCTTCTGGTCCCTTCCAACTCTACAATTCTATAATCTAGTTTGTTTATACTATTTATTTAACTTGCAATTCTGCGAATGTACCACTAATTACAGTAAATGTAGAAAGCTCCCTTATACAAAATCAGACCATTGGTCCATTTAGCTCAGTGGTATGCCTAATGATTTAGCTGTGGCTCTCCCCAGCCTTGCCTGCAGATGCCAGGGGTGGAACCTAGGACCTTCTGCATACAAAACTGATGCTGTACCACTGAGCTACAGCCTTTGCCCTCAAAGGCGAACGCAACTCCATAAGATCAAACTCATATTCTGCCCATTGAAAGAAGCAGACTCTTTGGAAGTCTTACCGAAATAAAAGTTTCGAACGCAATCAGAAACACAAAAACCAACCATGAAAGGAAGCAGCATAAAAGTAAGAAGACAGGCAAAAAGTATGGATCGGGCCCATTGGATTTGCTAAATTGACAGCTCTGCTCCTTACCATTCGCATTCTTCCCGCAGATCAGGTGCTCATAGGGCTGCAGCACTCCCCAAAGCTCCGCATCATTGTTGATGACCATCTCCAGAACTTCTGCGGAGATCTCACTTCCCCCTCCACCTCCGTCGGGGCTCTGGCTGGCCACTACTCTGGCCTTGATCTCCTCCACCAGGTTCTCCATGCAGGACGTCAAAGAGATGGCCGCGTACTCGTGGATCCTCACCGAGATCCTGGTATCCACCATCCACCTGAAGAACCTCCCCACGGAAAAGGTGAGGCCGCACCTGGCCGACTTGCCCTTCCTCAGCCCGTCGCCGGCGCTCATGCTGTAGAGCGAGAGCGCCTTGACGGTGGCCAGGACGCAGCTCTCGGACAACGACCAGCTCTGGATCAGCTTGATGGCGCTTTGGATCTCGAAGCGCGTGCACTTGGAGTGCATCACGCTCAGGCGCTGCGCCTCCCTGGAGATCCGGATCAAGGGTCTCCGCAGCAACACGGACAGCCTCCGCACCGCTTCTTGGGTGAAGTCCCTCTTGGTCCCTCCTCCTGCTTTCCCTTTCCTGAGGATCTTCCCAATGTCCTCCTCCGTCCAAGGGAATTCCTCCAGGTCGGGCAGCTTGGCGCATCTGGAGAAGATGTCCGCCACTTCGGGGTCCTCGGGCAGGACGGTGTTGACGGTGTCCCAGCTGTTGTTGCGACTGTTCATGGAGCCCGAGTAGTACCACCAGTTGCCCCTGGGCTGAGACGACGCGAAGGCTTGCGAGTTGGACTTGCAAGAGGAGAGGCTGAGCGAGCGGCAGGAGTCCCCAGCCCCATACCCAGAGTCAGGGTCAAGTCTTCCAGGGTCTTCAGAGTGGAGCTGTATATCCCAGCCATAGGAAAGGAACCTGCGATCTCGCGCCAAGCCAAGGGAGGAAAGAAAAGCAGCAGCAGCAGCAAGCGCAGGACTCAACTCACTAGATCGGGGGCTGCTTCCAAAAGAAGCCCGAGGCGAGGAGCTGGCCGGCCCCGCTGGTCCTTAGGCTCCCGGAGAGGAGTCCCGTTTGCTCTCGAGCTCCTGGGGCTCCTTCAGGTTCTGCTGGGTGCCAGCTGTCTCCATTCCACGGCGAGGGGTGAGATCATTTATTTTCCGCCTCGAGCAAGGATGGAAAATACTGGGGCCAGGAGGAGGAAAAAAGAAGAAGAAGAAGAAGGGATCAGGCAGAGAGAGAGAGCTCTTTTCAGAAGCTCCAAGAGGGCAGCGCCGTTCCCAACGGGGCGCCCTTCAGCGGCGGAGAGAGAAGCCTCCTGGCTGGCTCAGGAGGGCAGGTCAGCCCTTTCCCAGACGGCGATCCGGTGTCACACCGGGACTCCTCCAGAAGGCGAAGAAGAAAGGGAGATTGGACGAGGCAGCCCTGGGAGCTGCTGCTGCTGCCGCTGCCGCCGCGCGTCCCCCGCCCCGTCTCAGACACTTGCAGAAGCTTTGAGCGAAACTTCTCTGGTGCTGCCCGGCTGGGCGCACCGAGTTGCAGGCGGCATGCAAATGACCTGCGGGGAGCCGCACCAATCGGCGGCTCCGGGGGCGGGGCCCGCCGCGGAAAGGCGAGCTGGGCGGCCAGTATGTAAATCTCGACGGGCGGGGCCTGTGACGTCGCGGCGGGAGGAGCGCGCGAGAAGAAAGACGGCCCGAGAGAGAGGGGCGGACAAACCCAGGAGCCGCGACGACAAGCGGGGAGAACTTGGAGCGAGTCTGCTGCGCGACGAGAAACCGCGTGTCCCGTCATGTCCCGCTCTCGCCCAGCAAAGGTAAAGAGGGTGTTGGCCGCCTGCTTTAATCCCGACACGTGTTTCTTCCGACCCCCGATTCCCCGTGCGGACGACGCGTAACTTGCAAAACGTGGTTTGCTGGGGAAGACGATTTGTGGAGTTTCCTCTCTTCCGAGGGAGCGTCCTTTGAATTGCACCTGCCGCCCTCTGCACAAGCTCAGTGAACTGGGGCGGTGGGGGAAATCAGACGTCAGCGGCTGGCAGACCGGTCAGTTTCCACCAGACAGACTTAGGTGCTCCAGGTGTTTGCTCAGTTGCAAAATCTGCACAGCTAGAATGCAGTGACAACTGAACACGTTCCTCTCAATGTCCCGCAGTTCAAGGTGTTTCCTTTGCTGTTAGACGCTGTCGACTTGTGCTTTTAGCAGGGCCACTTGGGAATGTTTTTAAAGTAGGAAGGGCGCAGAATGAATGCACAGGCTTGCCTGAGCTAAGAAAAAGGTGCTTTAAGCCCAGGTGTTGAAGGCACCTTCAAGATGCCTTTGCCTCCAAAGAGGCGCTTCGGAGTGCTGCTAATGTGGGATAAAGGGCAGGGGAGTCCTTAGCATATGCACTGTCAGGGTGCAAATATCCGCCAGCACACCCAAATTTAGTTTAGCCACCGCTGGCACGGCACGTCTTTGGTAAATGAGTGCACAAAGTCGAAAGTCCTTTAGTGAAACAGTAGGTATACATTTAGGTAATACCTAGGTATGTATGTATTTTGTTTTTCTAGCTTGATCAAAATTATTTATTATTTTGTAACAGGTAGATAGTTAAGAGCTTAGGCGGATTCAGCTGTGGGTGCCTGGCGCCCCCCAGAATTCGGCACCTGGGTGCCCCTCACCTTTTGCACCCCTGGGTAAAGACAGTCCTGATAAAGGGCATAATTTTATGAGTTCCTGAGTGGGTAGCTGCAAAGTTCCAGAGTGGGTAGCTGCAAAGTTGTTGCAGCAAAATTAAGAGTGTCCTTTATATGTTAGTCTTTAAGAAGTCACAAGACTTTTTGTTTGTTTGTCTTGTATTGCTTCAGTGTTTTTTAAAAAATAGTTCAGGTCTGTATTTGAAGCTAAAAGCTGTGTTAGCCCGTTCCCTTACGCATGCAGTAGACCAGTGTTTCCCAACCTTTTTTGGGCAAAGGCACACTTCTTTCATGAAAAAAATCTCGAGGCACACCACCATTAGAAAATGTTAAAAAATTTAACTCTGTGCCTATATTGACTATATAAAAAGTACAGTGGTGCCTCGCAAGACGAAATTACAGTGGTGCCTCGCAAGACGAAATTAATTCGTTCCGCAAGTTTTTTCTTCTTGCGAGTTTTTCGTCTTGCGATGCACGGTTTCCCATAGGAATGCATTGAAAATCAATTAATGCGTTCCTAGGGAAACCGACTTCAGACCAGGTCCGGGGACAGTCTGTCCCCGGACCTCTTCTGAAGGCTGGGGGGGGGGACAAGGGCTTTTTTCCACCCCCAGCATTTTAAAAAACCCTGGGACAGCGGAGGGCTTCTCCGCTGGGGGCGATCTTAAAATGCTGGCGGGCGGCATTTTAAAATCGCCCCGGACAGCGGAGGACTTCTCCGCTGTCGGGGCGATTTAAAAGCCCCTGGGAAGGCAGGCAGGGGGACAAAGACTTTTGCCCCCGCCAGCCTTCAGAAGAGGTCCTGGACCTCTTCTGAAGGCTGGCGGGGCGAAAGTCTTTGCTCCCCCGCCTGCCTTCAAAAGCTGTCCGGCCAGGCTTCCCGGACCTTTCCGCCAGCAGCGGCAGCGCTGCCGCTGCTGGCGGAGACTTGCCGGCATGCGAAGCCTGCGCGCAGCGCGCCCAGGCTTCACAGACCTCTCCGCCAGCAGCGGCAGCGCTGCCGTTGCTGGCGGAGACCTGCCGGCATGCCGAAGCCTGCGCGCAGCGCGCCCAGGCTTCGCAGACCCCTCCGCCAGCAGCGGCAGCGCTGCCGCTGCTGGCGGAGACTTGCCGGCATGCCGAAGCCTGCGCGCGCTGACATCAGCGCGCCCAGGCTTCGCGGATCTCTCCTGCCTTCAAAAGCCATCCGGGATAGCGGGAAGCGCTTCCCTGCTATCCCGGACTGCTTTTAAAATGCTGGCGCTGGGGAGCAAAGCCTTTCGGCCCCCGCCAGCCTTCCTGGACCTCTTCTGAAGGCCGGAGGGGGGGGAAAGGCTTTGCTCCCCACCGCTAGCATTTAAAAGAGGAGATTTCCCGCCCCACCGCCCGGCATCGGGGCATCGTTCCGATGCCCAGCGGCGGGGTGCGAGGTTCCCGCCCCACCGCCCCGGCATCGGGGCATCGTTCCGATGCCCGGCGGCGGGGGGAGAGGTTCCCGCCCCACCGCCCGCATCGGGGCATCGTTCCGATGCCGGGTGGCGGGGGGAGAGGTTCCCGCCCACCGCCCGGTATCGGGCATCGGCGGGGGGCAGCGCTCCGAAGCGGGGCGGCTGGGGCAGGTGTTCCCGCCCCCCCCGCCCCGCTTCAGAGCAGCGTTCCGAAGCGGGGCGGCTGGGGCAGGTGTTCCCGCCCCCCGCCCCGCTTCGGAGCAGTGTTCCGAAGCGGGGCGGCTGGGGCAGGTGTTCCCGCCGCCCCGCTTCGGAGCAGCGGGAGAAGCGATCTCCCCGCAGCCCCTTGCTTCAAAAGAGGTCCGGGGGCAGCGCGAAGCGCTTCCC